TTTTATTGGATTAAAAAAATCAATAAATGAGATTTCAAAATTTAATTATTTTTTATATATAAAATTAAATATTTTACAATTCGAGAAATACAACCATGCATCATTCAAGCTAAAAGCATAAATCCGTATGAATACTCCTCTGGATAAATAAAATCAAATAAAATATATAAATGAAAAAAAAATAAAAAAATTATAATATCAAATTATCAATACAAATTACAAAGTAATAAATAAATTTATAAAAGCAATAAATCATCAAGTGAAAGGGATGTCAGGGGGGATTTTCGTTATTTAGGCTTACCTCAGGGGGGTTTTGGTAATTTGCCCTTTATTTTTTACATATTTAACAAAAGGATATAAGAGACATTTCACGTTGTCAGTTAAAAAAATTCGGTCAACCGTTAGTCAAGGGGGGTTTTCGTAATTACGAGAACGTAAGGGAGATTTTCGTTATTTAGGCTTACCTCAGGGGGTTTTTGGTAATTTGCCCTTTATTTTTAATTAGCCGTTGTCAAATCGACCTAATAGTTCATTTTATCAAAATCCAAAACAAGAAATCGGTTCGAAAATAGGAAGCCATGAAAGATTAAAAACCGACACACCTAAACAAAATAAGGCAAGGAAAGAACAAGGTACAAACGTTTTACGACCCTCAAATCGTAGTCGATTATGTATCCACGTAATAACTATATTGAACCAACCACCTACCTGATCTGTTAACCATGGTTGTAGCGGACACATGATTTTGTTTTCGTTGGGGCCAAATATACACTTAAAATTTTGATTTTTTTTTTTTGTCAAGGGACCATAATATTATAAACCTCGAAAAATAACAGATCTCTATATAATATGCAGAGGCGGTGAGGGGTCGTAGCCTCCGGTTAAGTAGGTTAGATTTGGATTCGACCCTTGATCGATACTAAAACCCATAACCTATCCTATATAAGACCACATAAACTCTATCTATCTATCTATCTAAGCTCAAATTTCTCAAAAAAAAAATTAAAAATAAAATAATAATAATAAAAATAATAAAGAAAATCAAGAATCATGGGTTCTCTAACTATTCCTGAACTTTTAGTAGTAGATTTCACAAAGGAGGAGATGAAACCAGGGTCAATTTCTTGGTCAACGTCGTGCAAAGAAATAAGAAGAGCCCTCGAAAACCACGGCTGTTTCGTAGCATTATACGATAAAATATCAACCCATCTTCACAAATCCATCTTCAAAGCAGCCGATGAATTATTCGATCTCCCGACAGAAGTTAAGATTCAGAACAAAAATGACAAGCCCTACCATGGATATGTGGGTCAAATGCCCATTGTGCCCCTGCATGAAGGCTTAGGCATTGATTATTCAACCACACTTGAAGGAGCTCAAGGTTTCACTAATCTCATGTGGCCTAACGGCAACGATTCCTTCTGGTACGCACCGTCTAACATTACCTGATTATATGGTTTTTTCGTAATTTACCCTTTATTTTTTTTTTTTTTGGAAATTTAGAATGCAAAAGAAATTCACAAATCGTTTTTTTATATCAAAATTGACATAATTCAGAATTTAATTTGTTCCAATTTCTAGCCTTGGTTAAGGATTTTTTTTCAATATATAAATATCTCTAGGTGGTTTTT